ACGCAGCTCTTGTTTACCTAATCTTGTTCAATTTTGTATTGTGGGTTTTTGTTGCTTTCTTAGTAATGAACTCAACCCCAAAACCTGAAATACAGCATAATGTACAAATCAAGAACAGCTTAGTTGTTTAATGTTCTTCAGGAATCAGTTGTGATATTTCCTCAATTATAGTGTCTTTCCCCATTGAATGTCTAATCTGAATGAAGTGCATATAGATATAAGAAATAGAAGCAAAGATAGCATTCCCATCCCTGCTCGTTATAGTCTCCTCCAAGGACTAATACAGCATCAAACTTGCATTTTTGATATTTGAGCAGACAAAAATCCTGATATTCACTAAAAACAAGAGAACATTTAACTAGTTTAAAAACTCGAATGCAGCTTATGATGATTTGTAGGCATCTCTCCAAGTAGCAACTCTTCAATAGACTTTCATTGAAATGACGCATTGTTGGGATCAGCCAATCAGGATTGAGGCTGTGATACGCCGTAGAGAAGCAACCCTAATGGGGGAAGAGCTGAGGAAATGAACTAAATAAATCCCACATCGAAACATGACTAAAGTTGTTATAGAACTGGACTAATATAAAATAGCCAATTGGAAGCATGGAAGGTATGCAGCCACGCAGTGAACACAAAGCGAACTATTCTTTCGCCTTTTACTAAAGAATACCGTGTGTTCGTTGCAATTAGTGGCATACACTAATTTTTGGAGAGGCTCAATTCATCTGGTTGGGCCTCTACACAGCTAGTTTCAAAGTTTATTTACATATTGTAGAGGTCGAACAATTATTAATTTTATTAGTTTGGTTTTCATAGGACTTGTTTTTAAAGATATGAAGTGGTTCATAGAAATTTTTTCACATATATATTAATATAAACTTGTGATAATTAATTAAAAATTAAGTTAATAATTGATATTTTGACATTATTAAAGAAATTATAATTTAAGTTAACACAAATATTGTAATTTTAAAAGTAAATATAGAGAATCTAAGCTCTCACATTATTTTTATAATGATGGTTTATAATGATGGTGTATTGAAGAAAAATGTATAGTTAAAAAATAAGGAAATTTTTTTGAATAATTATTACAGGTCGTAATTTATTCAACAATTGGATTATTGGAGTTATCGAGTTAATAGTCTAGGATTTATTATTTTAACGGATACTTTTTGGAGCAGTATGAGCTAACGAAGCATGGGGATCATATTGGAGTTGGGACCCAAAGGAAACTTGGGCATTTATTTACTTGTATCGTATTTGCGATTTATTTACATATGTTTCCACAACTCTCTACCACCCAATTAATTCTATTATACTTAATGCCTCTTTCTCTTCATGGCCACATATCTTTTCGGCTAAGGAATGGGAAATTTTTGTCTAGTTACATAAATCCAATTTTCAATTCATTCTGGAAAAGCCATTTTCTCAACAATGTCTTTGTCATTTAATCCAATGGCGTTTCGTTAGATAGGAACATATTTGATAAATACTGATAACTCTCGGATATAATATTAGAACGGAAAGATCCATTAGATAATGAACTATTTGTTCTAAGCTATCTCTGACGATTAATCAACAATTCGAAGTGCTTTTCTTGTGTATTCTTTGATAAACCGACGTTTATATATAGATTTAGGAGGATCTGTTTGGAAAGTAAGAAATAGTGATGGCAAAAAAATCCGCCCCGATTCGAATGGGGCAAAAAAACCAGCCCCGATGGGTTGGCGGGGCGGGGCGGGACGGGGTGGGGGTGCCCCGCCCCGACCGCGCCCCGTGATTTTTTTTTTTAAAATTTTCAAGTTATATTATTTTTAGATAATAAAATACAAATGTAAAATTTTAATTAATTACAAAAGAAATAAAATTTAGTGAAAACGTAATTTTATTTGAAATTGTTTAATTTTTAACATTGTTTATTTCAAGTGTTTACTTTGAATTTTAAAATTTTGAATTTATATTTAATTCTCTAATAATAACATAATTAGGAAAAAATAAAAATTAAACGGGGCGACAAATGGGACGTGGCGAGCCGTTTGAGACGGAGTGGGGTGTCACGGGGCGAGGGTGCCCGCTCCACTGTCATCTCTAGTAAGAAACCTCTTTGATATGATTTGTGTGTAATGTTATTTTATTAAAGATTGTGCGAATGAAATGATATCAAATTACTGTTTAAAAATATATTTTTTAAAAGAATGTGGCTCAAACATGGTTTATTATGTACGAACACGGTTTATTATCAATTTGTTACCTATGACTTTTAAGTATTATCAAACAAATATTTAGCCCCTGTTCGATTTTCATTATTGAATGCAATAATGACTTTATTGATCCTTTTTCCAACGAATGGGTCCCCTTGTGAGATCATACGTCAAAAAAAGGGCTAGTACCTATGCAACGATCCTAAAAACCATTAAAATGAGGAAAAAATTTAGAAACAAGCAAGAGCATAATAGTCACACAAGGACAGAGTATGGGCCCTCGAAAAAAGGATAATTATAGGTAACACCACATAGATCTTCCATTTAAAAATCACATTTCAAAATTAACAAATTTCTAAAAAAGTTTTCAAAAATCAGGTAATAATTAAATTTATTAAATATTAATTATAATATAGTATAATTAATCTACTTACCCATCCCACCTCATCTCCAACCCCACCCACCCATCACATCAAACCCTTTTATTTCTCTCTCCACCCCACCCCACCTCCGGCGACGGCTCCAACAACAATTCCAGCGACTGCTCTGATGACAATTTCGACGACCTCTCGACGATGCTCCAACTACCGTTCGACGAATATTCCGATGACTGATCGCCTTTCCGACGACTACCTTTTTTCTTCTTTTTTGACAATGACCTGTTACAAGTTCCATTAGATCTGTAACCTAATTAAGTGGGATGAACACGCATACGATCAATTTCAATATTAAGAAATAAAGTTCGAAATTTCACATGTTATTTGTGACCATGCCTGTGTTATATGTGATCAATTCACTGACTTATGTTATTTGAAAATCACCGTGACCAACTTTGCCTTCGGTGTGACTAAATTTGTATTCATTGTGACTTTATGTGACCATATCAATCTCAAGTCACAATCAGTCACAATCAATACAAAATTGGTCACAAACAGTCACAACTAGATTTCGAACAGAAAAAACCAGCTCTCCAACCACCACAGCAGATCTGTTCAAAATAATAATAACCACCACCACTACTAATATCTTTAACTCAATTTGATGACCATAAATACTACATGCACCTCAAATTCACAACAATCTGATCTACCATAACTTCCACCAATTCTTCAAAAAACCCCAACCAGCACCACCACACTTCTCTCGTGAAACTCCAATGAGAGAAGGGGTAGGTGGTCGGAATCTAGAGGATGGGTGGGGAAGAAGTCGTAGATTTGATTTTTGGGTAAGAGAGTGCCGAACTAATTTTTGAGGGGAAGAAATAGACTGTGTAGGTTAAAAATTGATATAAGATATGGGGTAAATTGATATGAAGTCTGTGACCAAGTTTGTATTCAATGTAACTGTTTGTGACCAAATCAATTTCAAGTCACAACCGGTCACAATCAACACAAAATAGGTCATAAACAATCACAACCAGATCTCGAGCAGAAAAAACCAATCTCCAACCACCACAATAGATCTGTTCTGGAAAATAATAACTGCCACCACTACTAACATCTTTAACTCAAATCCACAACAACAATCATCACTGCCATAACTTTCACCAACACCTTCAAAAAACACCAACCAATTGAATCAAAATTAGAAGAACAAGTACACATAATCAAATCACAATTTTAGTTTGATTTATAGAAACCCATGGCTACAGTAGTGGTGGAATGGGGGTGGTGAAGTCATGGGTGTAGATTTGTCGTGATGGTCCCATCTATGACACCTGACTTTGAAATTTTTGAGATTTGTAATTTAAGAATCTTCCATTTTTATCAATCCCTGAAAGACACTAGAAAAGGAAGAAGAGAGAGAAAAAGTTTAATTTGAGTGGGTGGGTGGTTTTGGCTGGGGGAAGATATAAAACATTTTCTATTATTAACTATGTATTAATTAATTTAATAATTTCTAATTACCACCTGATCTGTGAAATGAAAATTAATTCCCTTTATTTTTGAAAACTATTGTTTAAAAGTAGGTTTCTAGGTAATTTTCTCATAATTATATTCACATAACAATTTTTCATATTTACACTACATTTTACTTACAGGAAAGGTTTCTAATATTTGCTCATTTTTGTTTTCATATCCTCAACTTTTGTCTCGTTGTACTGACATTCTTAACCTTCAATTAATTAATATATTTTTATCTCTAATTATGATTTCCATCCAAATATTCTACTAACTTGCATTAAAAAGATGGAAAATATTTTATTTAATTTTTGTACTAGTTATTTATTTTGATTATTTAAAGTTACAAAAGATAAATATATCTTTTTGGCCCTCCTAATAAATATTTTGTGCGAATTCGTCTCTATAGACATGGAGTGAAAACTAATAAAGGGTTGATGATAAAAAAATTTAAAAAATGTTGAAAATATCTATGTAAGAATAAGAAAAAGTTAGGCATATTCATTGTAATTAAAATGTGGTGCAGTTAACAAAAAATGTAGTGTGAATATATACCTAGGAAAAAAAAATGAAAAAACGAAAAAAAAATGGAGTAACCATAAGTAATTCGAATTTTGAATGTTAAGATCAGTAATAAATATAAGCATGACGCGAGTTGGCGCCTTAAGATTTCCCTCCTCTCCCTCAAATCAACCATCCCGAAAATTAGGGTTCTTTTGATTCGCATTTCAATTCGATCCGAATCACAATGAGTAGAAGATTCAAATCCAGTTGTACCAGTTCCGAAGATCCACGTAAGATCCGACCGGCCAGAAATCAGGGCTCGGACAACAAATTGGGTACCATGATCTCTCTTGTACCAACCTTGCATTTCTCACCCTTGAATTTTATCTGATTGGTTCATATATTTTATCGTGCTAAGTGATAGGTAAATGTAATTCGAAGTTTGCTTTAGTTAATTATTTATAGTTATGCAGGAACCAAGTGATTGTAGTAGCTGCAATATGAGTTTTAACTGTTCTGCATTTCCTTGGTTTTTCTAATTTGTCCTGAAGTTTTGTTTCGAAGATCTTTATTTGTTTGTTAGATACGAGCAAGTTAAAAAGAGTGAGGTTTGCGGATCCTGAGATGGATATGCTTCCTAGCGATGCACAAGGCGTTTCTTTAAGAAAATATGAAGTGAGCCAATCGACAAAATGTTAGTGATATTTGCTATTTTTGCTAGTTTATTTTAATATTTCTCTATTAAGTATATACACTATTGCTCATGAATCCATAATTTTTTAAGGTTGGTGTTACTCGTGAAGAGTATTATTTTTCTTAAAAAATACTGTTTTGTAGCTGATGCCCCCAAAACTTCAGAGTATGCATATTTTAAGAAAGTAAAGAATAGTGCTGGTTGTGGTCATTCCGGTGCAACACATAGGGAGGACAAACGGTTGGAAGATTCCAAGTTTAATGACTGCAGTGGAGGTAATCCTACATAGGTTCTAAATCAGCCTTAAATGCATTTTAGTTTGATGGGGGGATCGTGACATGTTTTATCTTGTTGTTGTCGATACAATTAGTAGAGACTTCAAATGCTTCTGCCACAATTAACCCCAGAAACAAGGACTTCAGATTCACGTTCCCTGAAGGAATGCCAGGGCCCACTGACCAGCACACATTCCTCTCACCTCGTGTTGGAGAATGTAAGAAACTTAACCAGTTGAGAGGCAAAGGTCTGTTATCTGTAATTTAGGCATCTTTGATGTCACATATTTATTTATTTATTTTCTTTGTACCATGCTTGTTATTACTTGACAGTAGTGTGTGAATGTGTGCTGTGATGCAGATATACCCAACAATGTTAAACCTCTTGATCAAAATTTATTCTTTTCACCCATTGAAGGGACATCAGAGAACTCAGGTTTGCACTGTAATTTGTTATCTCAAATTCTCTCAAGTTGCGATCAGAAGGTTTGTCTTCAATTTGGATAATTTCAATGTATTGGAGGAGTTGAATGATGCTTAATTGTAATGATTTGCTGCAAACTGTTTGTTGTCAACAGTTGTATCTACACGAATTACATTATCCTTTCTCCTTTTCCCTTTGATTAGCTGCTATTTTAATCTTTATGGCAAAAAGTTCCTCAATATATGTTGGTCAAATACCACGAATCTACTAGAGAACTCAACTGGTTTCTTGTGCCATTTATTAGAATCCTGAATCATGTTTATGACAGAAAATAAATCCTTCGTAATAATTGTGTTATGCTTGATTGTAAAAATGGTCTTTCTCATCTGCCATCTTATACTGTTACTCTATATATTTGCAAATGACGTAAAAAAATTAATCATCAATCTTTAAATTGTAATGCTTCTCAATATCCCCATGATTTTGATGGTTATAACGAGTACAATTTTATTTGATTCACTTCTTCAGAATATCAATAAACTATTTCTAATTTCCAAGGTAAAATATATTTGTGAATCAATACTGTATAAGCATCAAGACAAGGGATCTTCAGGACAATCCTTTTCTTTTCAAATAACAACTGTCTCTGTAAATGGCTGAAAGAATATTTGTTCCCATGCCTACAGTCTCTTCGTAATCGGCATGATGCATTTATTTATAAGATTAATTCTTCCACTTATCAGTTATTATTATTATTTTTTTTAAACTAGGTTGTACTAGGGTTAGTTTAACATTAGTAGGCTCATTGTTGCATGCATGATGTATTCCTCCCCATGTCCAATAAGGCAGTTGCTGGAACTTGTATCTTTAAACTGGTGCAAAGCGTTCAGCATATTCATTAAAAGTTTAATCATGTTAAGCATCATTAAATTATGGCATAATAGATAGTTTTTTTTTTTTTTTTTTTTAAACTAGGTTGTACTAGGGTTAGTTTAACATTAGTAGGCTTATTGTTGCATGCATGATGTATTCCTCCCCATGTCCAATAAGGCAGTTGCTGGAACTTGTATCTTTAAACTGGTGCAAAGCGTTCAGCATATTCATTAAAAGTTTAATCATGTTAAGCATCATTAAATTATGGCATAATAGACTTCTTACCAGCTTCAGGGAGCCAATGCACTGAGAAAGGAATCTTTTCTGCAAAAAGACAGAGGTTACTTCAGTGTGTTGCTGATGCCTCATTTTGTGGCATTGAGAAACTCCACTCTAAGGGGTCAGACACATGTAGTTTGAGTACTTTATTATTTCAGCAGTTATTTTCTTTGACTCAGTTGGGTTTTCTCCAGGTTCAATTTGGTTTCCTTGCTCTTAAGCCGCCTGTTCTTTAAGGACATTGAAAATGATGTATGTTGTCTCGACTTCTGCATGGGTGAATTTCTTTATAATTTGGTGCTGAAGATTTGTTTTCGGTACTATTTCCAGGATTCAAGGCCCTCCAAAGTCGATATGGATAACAATTGTAAAGCTCCGACATTTTGGGAGTCAGATGATCTGGAGAAGGGACTCCATTTGGCTCATACCGAAGACTGGGATAAGGATATCCCGAATAACTATTCTGGCAGATCAGGAGAGGCTGTTCTCTCAAAATGGAATCCCTCTGTCTCTGACTTTCCTCCATCCCACTATGATACAGCAACTCATTTTGGAGATGAATTAGTGAATCTTGATTGCAGTTCAAAGAGTGATATGATTAGAAATTTATACACACAGCATAAATCTTTTTTCTGTTTACCATTTGAAAGATCTGGATATGCTGGTTCATGTCATCTTGAAGAACCTGATGAACTCTGTTGTCCAATTGAATACTCAAGAAGTGAACCGCCTAGGCTTTTGCTAGGTTGGGACTTCGAAAGGGAGGAAGATAAAGTTGATTCATCCATTATCATTCACGACATCTCGAAGAATTTGTGTCCTGGATGGGATTCGTGGAATGTTGATCACCCAAAGGGTATGGATAATACAGTTGATGCCACAGCACTGTGTCCATCATCCTTACGTTCAACATATTATCTAGACTTCCAGTCACTGCCGAATTATTATTCAACCAGACCAGCAACTTCATGGAATGTGGATCACCAGAATGATATGGATAATGTTCTTGATGCCAAACCATTGTGTTTATCATCATCATGTTCAAAATACTCTCTCGATTTCGACTCGCTGCCAAATTATTATTCAAACAGCTTTAGAAGTCAGGATTTTGGACCATTTATAAAAAATGAGTGTGCGTTGGCTGAAACAGAACGGTTTCCTTTAGCTTTACCATGTACTCCAATATATAATGAGGCGGAGGATTGCGGTACAAAAAATGCACTTGAAATTAGCAATCTTCTCTTCTCTCGTCGATATCCCCCTTTGCTTACCAACAAGGTTTCATTCGATAGGCATCAACAGGATTTTGAACTCCTTGTGTTGCCTAGCTGCCTGTATACTGATTTCAAGTGGAAGTGCTTACCAACTACAGATTCCTTTGCAGAGGACCATCCATCCATTTTTCATCCATGGCAGTCTCCTCATATAGACAGCAGTTCATATTCTTCTGCACAAATGGAGGAAGATCCCGGAGAAACTTTCACTCCTTATCGTGAAGGTGCGTATAACACTCATTCTGGATCCTCTAATTTTCATTATTTCCTCGACAAATTAATGGACTGCCCTTTGCTATTAGATAGTGCAAGCCACGATAGATCTGAAGCAAGAAATATATTTTGATGACAATGAATTGAAATATGGTTGAATATTTTACTTGCATATAAACAAAACTGTGTGTTCTCGTTGGAATTTGCCTTCAATGGATTTGCATTGCGATTTAGCTGTGAGGATCACTCATTTTCTGTTGGTAGATGCTTTATTTAAGTGTTAAGATTTCTATTGCCATAATATCTTTAGGTGGATCATATGATAAACAGATCAAACAGGTAGTGATCGATAGGTTTCTCAAAACAAACTAAAGATGAAACATTTATAGCCCTGAATATGGATTTGTCTTTGATAACCGGCTGAAAATGTAATTCATGTAGCTTTGATCTGTGAAATTATTTTCTTTCTGGTCCAATGCATGTTTGGCTAAGCTTAAATGAAAGTTCAACTTACTTATAAATAAATTTTTGTTTCCAAACTTGTTTCGATAAATAAGTAAAAAAGTTACTTATTTTGATAGTAAGTGATGATTACTTTAAAACTGGTAACTTATTTCCTGAATATACACTTAAGGAAGTGCATTGACCTCCTCTTGTTTGCCCATGAGAGCTTAAAATTGGGTTTTTTTTTTTTTTTTGTTTCTTTTGGGGTAGAACAGTTTTATTTATTTATTTGGCTTTTGAGTAAAGCTAATAAGGTTACATTGATCTTTATATTAGAGCGTGCTTGAACCTAACATAATAGGAACTACATTTCTTTGAATAGAAGCTTGATTTCTTCCCATTATATTAGATTTGGTTATGTGGTAAGTTGTTTTCCTAGGCTATGATCAGCTCGTAATCTCATTGCACAAAACCTGACCTTGTGGCATAATTAATTACTTTGTATTTGATATGATAAATTGAAAGGCAGCACTACACTGTCAGAAAAAGTTTTTATAAAGGCTTTACGGGCCTCTCACAGTGGAGGTGGTCAACATTTTTTGTGCAATTTTTAATTATATGATACCGATGTGGGATTCACACTCACATGTGAGTGCCTGTGCACTACTTGTGAAAATCGACCTTGTACATCTGGTTTTATTCTAAATTGAATCGGCACACTTTATCGTGTGCAATTTTTTTAATGCTATTTAATTCAATTTGTTAAATTCATTCCTAAATTTTTATTGTTTGTTGTACTGAGTTTACATTATTAGCATAGTGAATAATTTGTACAGGTTTCTTATAATGAAAATAAAGATTAAATCTGATGATCGCGCATTTGGATCTAACGTGTCACATCAAACGTGCAGATTTATGGTAATTAAACTAATCGATATGATTATTAATCGCTTTTGTCATTTACTATTTTTCTTTAAAAATAAGCAATAAACAACAAAACCTCATTTGAAATTTCTTACTCGAGTAGACTATCAAAAGTTGCGCCGGATCAATTGCGGATAATTTTGACTTTGGCTTTTAGGAAAAGCAATAATTATAAATCATAATAAAAAGGTTGTCTTAGAAGTTAGAAGAGTTATCTTATAAAGCCCTTGTTTGAGTAACATTATTTTTATAAGAATTCATTTTTGAATATTGTACCGATCAGAAATATGTGGTTAAAAAAATAAAAAAAAAGTTTGAATTTTAGTGTAATATTATTTTATTAAAAAATGTGATTGAAATGATGTCAAATTGTAGTATAAGAATGATTTTTTTTTTAATGAATGTTGGTCAAATAGGGCCAAAGTGTGAAAAGTGACTATGGAAAAGTGAGAAGTGCTTGTGGATTCAATGAAATATAATAACTTATAGGTAAAAGTAAAGTGATTTGATAAAAAGTGTTTTTTAGATCAAAGTATTTATAAATAGTGGTGAATGATGAAGAAGTAGGTATCACTTATTAATATTAAGAAATATGATATAAACACTTGTCAAATATTTATTGGAGACATCAATATTATAAGCATGATTAAATCGACTTATTCGATAAAAAAGAAAGAAAGATAATATAGTTCGGAACAAAGTGAGTTTATATATATTAGAAATGGGAAAAGGAAAAATAAGATTTTTAGTTTTGTGAAAACAATGCTTGAATTAAATGGAAGCATTTGTGTTATATATCAAGTGCATTTGATCTATACTTAATAGTGGCAATTGATTTAAGTCGTTCATCAACCTTGCAATCTTAGCTCGATCTATTCGTGGCTTGGGATGATTTTGGGATGAGTCATGGTCAAGTCGAGCTCATTTATTTTTTCATGAGCAGACTTGTTTTGAATTCGTGGGTCATCTTGTTTTTTAATTTTGTATTGGACTTTATTAATTTTTTTAAAAAATGAGATGTCTTGTGGGTACTTGCACAGCTTGACTTGACCTTTAAATACCCTGAATCAAAGGGTTGTCGAGCTAGGATTTAGACACCAGTTGAGCTCAGTGTCTGAGGACTAACTCGATGACTTGTTGCAATTCCTTATCCATACTTATTTTAACAGGTTGACATATTTATAATGTGAGAATAAATTATCAATAGATGATGTTGCATAAGATATAAATCAAAATATACATTTATTATGTTGAATTTTATGTCTTTCATTAATTTATGGATAAATCTTTCTCTGGTTTATTCGTCCAAAATATTATAATTATTAATTACCTAATTTCATTACAAGGAGGTAAATAATGCACCAAACAAACAAATTATTTCCGCAGAAAAAAAAAATGTAAAGGAAAAAGAAAAACAATGCATTTAGAATATTGACAAAGAAGGCCAACGGTAGTTGGAGGGTAGGGTCCCTTATTCGCTAATATTTCCATTGGATTCTTACGTCACAATTCAAAGGCTGAGATTCATTCGCGCAACTGTCAATGCTGCGATTGCTAACAAGTGTATTTAAAAATGTCATTTTTGTAATTAACCTGAAAATAAGGTGTGTTAATGTCATTATCAAAGCATATTAAGTAAAAATTCAACCGTCAATACCGCGTTGTCAAGTGCCCACAGACAAGGACGAAACTTCAAGTGAATAAAGTGAAGCCAAAAACCTCATTATAAGGCGAATCATAAGAAAATCACTTATAATCTATTTGTTAATTATATTATAAGAATGTCTTTTTATTTATTATTATTATGCAACTACATTATTCATTTCTACGTTTGCATACGAGCCCTTGCATCTAATGAATGTATTTGTTTTATATCTCCTACGCGAAAATGTCAAAATTAAATTAAGAAACCAAATTCAACGGACTTGGCAAAGTGCAATACCATGATGCGTGCTCGAAAAGATTAAGTCCATGTTTATTTTCAATAATTTGTTCAGAATAATCCATTTTTTTGTCAGCAGCTGGGACCCATTATGAGAGAGGAATTCAAAAATTGCGGCTGAAAAATCCAAAAATGAATTGTGGTTGGACAAAAAATTGGAAACAAACAGGAGCTAGGATAATAAAAAAAGGTTCTTTCCTAGACATTAGACTAATGTTCCATATTCGAGTGCTATACATTTTTTTGTTTTAATTAAAAATTCTATGACAATTAGAAAAATGTGAGATCTGCAGGACCATTACAATTCCAAAATCTGATAGTAAAGCTCTAGCTTCAAATTTTTGAGGACGTGACAACTTTCGTATTCTTTGTCGTGATCCAATCATGTTAATAAAAAATAAAAATTCGAGCCATTCAAATTTCAAGGATATGGTAATATTCACGCTCTTGGTTTAACATTAATGAGATACAAATCGAGAAATTTAACGATCACCAAATCCACATAATAAAATATTAAAACTTGAGCTTTAACAATCACCAAATCCACATAGTAAAATATTAAAAATCGAGCAATTCAAATTATATAGAAATATCTCACGTTTGAATTTTGAAATATTTATTTCAACATGATTTGAAAGCTGACAATCGTGAGATGCATAAGATAAAATTAAAGGAGGATTAATAAAGGAGTAATGAAAATAAAATAAAATTTGTTGTTAATACAGAAAATCTATAATTAATAATTTTCTATATTTTTAAAATACGTCACCAAAAATATGAAATAATTTGCAACCATTTCTATTAATTAAAAACACGAGAATAAATTTAGTGCATAAGAACACGATACAATGAAAACATAAATCGAATTTCACATCGTATTAATAATTAACCTAGTTTGTATTAAATCCATTTCTCAATATCGAAACAAGTTTAAGGACAAAAAACTTCTACATATAGACCTGAAATTATAAAAACAATCATGTTACAGAAACATAAAGTTTGATATAATACTACGTGACGTTTCATTATTGAATTGTTTTAAACATAATCAGCTGTTTCTACCAATCAACTCCCGTCATGACATCTTCGGTCATTGCATCTGGCAGGATTTTTTGGTCAAAGTAGCATTATTCTTATAAAGATAATGGCAGAGATTCATATTGAATTCTTTTGGGTCCGATTAAAACCACATTAAAGTTGAAGGACCATTTAGCAAAAGGAATTTCGAAGCCTATTTGTGTTGTTTAATAATTTAGGCACCGTTTGATTGCCTATGAATTCCCTAGAAAGTGGAAATTAATTTCCATCTTTTCCAGATTCTAGTGTTTGATGGTAAAACATTTCCTTAGAATTCACTTTCCATGCAAGTCACACACGCGCCTATTTTCCTTCATTTCAACGAATTGGTTTTTCCACCTATATGGTAGGAAAGTGAATTCCAGGTTTTCAATTTTATTTTTTTTTTAGCTTTTTTTTTGTGTGTTAGTAATGGAAACAAATTCTAAGAATTATTATAAAAAAATATTTTTTTAATTGACAATTTTCATATAAAATAAAGCCAAACGAACACTCAAAAATAGATGATTTTCTTGATTTTTTTTGTTTTTTTTTGTTTTGGCAATGGAAACAAATTTTATTTCCAATACCAGTAAATTCTATCCCTTTAATTGACAATTTTCATGTAAAACAAAACAAAACAGACATCAAAAAAACACTTTAATTTAAACATTTTTCACGTGGAAAATTATACCAATCAAACACAATAATTTATAATTCTCAAGAAAATAATTTTCCATCAATTTAATTTTCTAAAATTCGTTTTTTTCCACCCAAATTCTACATTTGCAATCAAACCGACGCTTATAGTTTTTTACTTCAAATTTGCACGTCTTTCCATAAACGTAATCGAATCCGATAAATATATCAGAGTAAATGATACCTTGTCGAGTCCGACAAAGAGTCGGTGGAGAAGAAAGAAGCAAAATTCACTGCAAAACAAAATACTCTCTCTCTAAAATCCGGCTTCTCCGGCATTAACCTTGCCGTAAATTTCTGATTCCGGAAACCTGTCAGCCTTCGCTATTTCTGCTATCTGACTCGAGCTCCTCATAAAAAATCTATTTAAAAGCCTTTATTTCTGTGTTTGACTGTGTGGAGAAGGTAGAAGAAAAATCTGTGGAGTGTTTGTCTGTGCACATTATTAGAGGTTGGCATTGCGAAATTTGTGTGTGAATATTTTAGAGTCGATGCAGTACTTTTCGTTACGGTTCTTCGATCTCGGTTTTGGAAGGTAAAAATGTGAATCGAATCTGATTCTTTTTATTGAATTACTTGTCTGCTGTAGTTGCAGCTTTTCTGCGATGGTTTTTGAATAAAGATATGGCCTTTTTGTTCAATGATATAAAGTTGAAAGGTCAATTATTTTTTTCTGGAGGCTTTAAAGTTAAAGCTTCAATTTGCTTTAGTCGTAACTTTACTAATACTAAATTGAAACTATACTGATTTAATGATATGTTATGTAAGTTTAATTGCACTTATTTTGAGGGACTTGAGCTTTATTCAGGAATGTAACTGATTGATGCGAGGTTTCATGGGAATATGCTGAAAATTGCATTAACAGTACAGCGTGCATACAGAAGTCTTGTCTTTGTTATTTGTTCTTCGTACTTCCCCTTTTTTCCCAGTTAAATCTAGGCAATTCTTTTGCAGTGTATAGTGATTGACTCTTCGAGTTAGCCTTCTTTTCTTCTCATTCTCCCCCTGCCTCTCTTTATTATAAACAGACGGTTTGAATTTTCATCTCTGAAGCAAGTTTTTTGGTATGAAAGAGCAAAATTTTGATTTGTTTTCGTTTTTATTGGCAATGTTGGGCAATTTCAATTTTTCTGTTTCACTTTTCACTTTTCACTTTTCATGAGTTTGGCCGTGTATTTGGTGGTTTGAGGTTCTTTGCAAAAGCAGCTTCTCTTTCTCTGTTTTCAACTGCGAACTAGCTAATTTACATTCTCAATGGTTGCAAACCTAACAATTTTTAGCATCGAATCCAGCAATTTATCTTTTTATTTTATTTTATTTTTTTGGTAATTAATGCAGTGGAGTGTGCAATACCAGTTATTGAAATGAACGGGAGACACCAGAATGGAAAAAACTGCAGTTTTGAGAGAACTTTTCCGGGGTGCTTGGGAAGAATGGCGAACTTTTTTGACCTGAATGGTGCGGTGGCTGGAAACAGGCTGCTCACTGATAAACCACATCGAGATGGTGCTTACTCTTTTTATATTTTCCTCGCAGAAAATTAGATAACTTATTAGAAATATTGATGTTCAATACCATAAAAATTTCACCTAGTCTGGGTCATATATTTTAGCATATGATTTTACATTGATAGCAATGAAGTCGAGAATACGTTGTTGACTTGTGTTCTGCAGTGGAACATGTTTTTAAAATTCTTCTGGTTGATTGATTGTTTGTTATCTAAGTCCAAACCCTTGTCAGATATGGATGACATAAATTATGAACAAAGTTCTAAATCGCCTTATATTATATTTGGTATGTGAACTTGTTTTTATTTTTATGGGTTCCCTTTTTGTGTCTTGCTTCACCTAAAGGTTGATGGGTTTGGAAGTTTGTTTTCCTCTTAATTGTACATTCCACAATAGAAAGGGTGTGTTGTGACACAATAGTAACTGATCCACAGGTTCACCACTCTCAAAAAGCCAAGCAGATGATGCATCTTTGTCTCCATCTAATTACCAAATAGAGGACAAAGTGGTATGTTTCAATTTATATTACTAAGTTGGGAGTGTAATTTATGGAAGAAATATCACCAAACATTTTTCTAATTTTCTTCGATATTTAATTATATTGTGCATTGGTGTGAGTTATGCAGATTGTGCCTGAACTCGAAAGAACTGGTTCAAACAGAAAATCAAATGCAACACCCATAAAGATGCTCATTGCCGGAGAAATGTCCAAAGAAGTAGATTCCAAACACAGTCCGTCTAATGTGGTTGCTAAGTTGATGGGTCTTGATGCCATTCCATGCCAGGAACCTGATTCAGTTGCACAACGAAGCCATTTTAAAGGTCATCCTCGAAGTCATTCAGATATACCAGTGAGTTACTGGAAGCAACAGAATGGATTCTTTGAATATGTAGAACCAAATGAGTGCAGCGATGTTTATGAAAAACGTAAGAAATCACAAAAAACAAATTATCTGCTAGACAAATCACCACAGAAGGGAAAATATTATGAAACTACTAATGACAAGAAGATGGCTCTTGTTCGCCAGAAGTTCATTGAAGCAAAACACCTGTCTATGGATGAAAAACTTCGGCAGTCAAAGCAATTCCAAGATGCCTTAGAAGTTTTAAATTCCAACAAAGACTTATTTCTTAGGTGTCTGCAAGAACCAAATTCACTGTTTTCTCAGAATCTTTACAATCTGCAGTCTATCCCTCCTCCTCCTGAGACGAAGAGAATTACCATTCTTAGACCTTCAAAGATGGTGGACGGTAACAACTTTTCTGCAGTGGGGAATAAAGATGGAAAACTGGTGAAGAAAGGTGGATTGGAAAAAAGCCATCAGAGATGTTCCCCTCCAGCGGGACGGAAGATTGACGAAACTCCCACTCAACCAACTCGAATAGTAGTTCTGAAGCCAAGCTCAGTGAGACCACACGATATTAAGTCTGTTGATTCTCCACGGTCAGAATCACCAAGGATATTACATGGGGATGATTTTTTTGGTGATGTAGAAGATGACGAGAAACAAGAATCTAAAGAAGTTGCAAAAGCAATCACACAGCAGATGCGTGAAACGCTCCATAGAGATGAAACCTTGCTTTCTTCTATGTTCTCCAATGGATATGTCGGTGATGAAAGTTCATTTAATAAATCGGAAATTGAATATGCAGAGGGTAATCTCAGTGATTCAGAAGTCATATCACCCACATCTAGGCACTCTTGGGATTATGTTAATAGGTTTGGTAGCCCTTACTCATCCTCATTTAGCCGTGCATCATATTCTCCAGAGTCATCAGTTTGCAGAGAAGCAAAGAAGATGGTTTTTGAATAAAGATATGGCCTTTTTGTTCAATGATATAAAGTTGAAAGGTCAATTATTTTTTTCTGGAGGCTTTAAAGTTAAAGCTTCAATTTGCTTTAGTCGTAACTTTACTAATACTAAATTGAAACTATACTGATTTAATGATATGTTATGTAAGTTTAATTGCACTTATTTTGAGGGACTTGAGCTTTATTCAGGAATGTAAGTGATTGATGCGAGGTTTCATGGGAATATGCTGAAAATTGCATTAACAGTACAGCGTGCATACAGAAGTCTTGTCTTTGTTATTTGTTCTTCGTACTTCCCCTTTTTTCCCAGTTAAATCTAGGCAATTCTTTTGCAGTGTATAGTGATTGACTCTTCGAGTTAGCCTTCTTTTCTTCTCATTCTCCCCCTGCCTCTCTTTATTATAAACAGACGGTTTGAATTTTCATCTCTGAAGCAAGTTTTTTGGTATGAAAGAGCAAAATTTTGATTTGTTTTCGTTTTTATTGGCAATGTTGGGCAATTTCAATTTTTCTGTTTCACTTTTCACTTTTCACTTTTCATGAGTTTGGCCGTGTATTTGGTGGTTTGAGGTTCTTTGCAAAAGCAGCTTCTCTTTCTCTGTTTTCAACTGCGAACTAGCTAATTTACATTCTCAATGGTTGCAAACCTAACAATTTTTAGCATCGAATCCAGCAATTTATCTTTTTATTTTATTTTATTTTATTTTTTTGGTAATTAATGCAGTGGAGTGTGCAATACCAGTTATTGAAATGAACGGGAGTCACCAGAATGGAAAAAACTGCAGTTTTGAGAGAACTTTTCCGGGGTGCTTGGGAAGAATGGCGAACTTTTTTGACCTGAATGGTGCAGTGGCTGGAAACAGGCTGCTCACTGATAAACCACATCGAGATGGTGCTTACTCTTTTTATATTTTCCTCGCAGAAAATTAGATAACTGATTAGAAATATTGATGTTCAATACCATAAAAATTTCACCTAGTCTGGGTCATATATTTTAGCATATGATTTTACATTGATAGCAATGAAGTCGAGAATACGTTGTTGACTTGTGTTCTGCAGTGGAACATGTTTTTAAAATTCTTCTGGTTGATTGATTGTTTGTTATCTAAGTCCAAACCCTTGTCAGATATGGATGACATAAATTATGAACAAAGTTCTAAATCGCCTTATATTATATTTGGTATGTGAACTTGTTTTTATTTTTATGGGTTCCCTTTTTGTGTCTTGCTTCACCTAAAGGTTGATGGGTTTGGAAGTTTGTTTTCCTCTTAATTGTACATTCCACAATAGAAAGGGTGTGTTGTGACACAATAGTAACTGATCCACAGGTTCACCACTCTCAAAAAGCCAAGCAGATGATGCATCTTTGTCTCCATCTAATTACCAAATAGAGGACAAAGTGGTATGTTTCAATTTATATTACTAAGTTGGGAGTGTAATTTATGGAAGAAATATCACCAAACATTTTTCTAATTTTCTTCGATATTTAATTATATTGTGCATTGGTGTGAGTTATGCAGATTGTGCCTGAACTCGAAAGAACTGGTTCAAACAGAAAATCAAATGCAACACCCATAAAGATGCTCATTGCCGGAGAAATGTCCAAAGAAGTAGATTCCAAACACAGTCCGTCTAATGTGGTTGCTAAGTTGATGGGTCTTGATGCCATTCCATGCCAGGAACCTGATTCAGTTGCACGACGAAGCCATTTTAAAGGTCATCCTCGAAGTCATTCAGATATACCAGTGAGTTACTGGAAGCAACAGAATGGATTCTTTGAATATGTAGAACCAAATGAGTGCAGCGATGTTTATGAAAAACGTAAGAAATCACAAAAAACAAATTATCTGCTAGACAAATCACCACAGAAGGGAAAATATTATGAAACTACTAATGACAAGAAGATGGCTCTTGTTCGCCAGAAGTTCATTGAAGCAAAACACCTGTCTATGGATGAAAAACTTCGGCAGTCAAAGCAATTCCAAGATGCCTTAGAAGTTTTAAATTCCAACAAAGACTTATTTCTTAGGTGTCTGCAAGAACCAAATTCACTGTTTTCTCAGAATCTTTACAATCTGCAGTCTATCCCTCCTCCTCCTGAGACGAAGAGAATTACCATTCTTAGACCTTCAAAGATGGTGGACGGTAACAACTTTTCTGCAGTGGGGAATAAAGATGGAAAACTGGTGAAGAAAGGTGGATTGGAAAAAAGCCATCAGAGATGTTCCCCTCCAGCGGGACGGAAGATTGACGAAACTCCCACTCAACCAACTCGAATAGTAGTTCTGAAGCCAAGCTCAGTGAGACCACACGATAATAAGTCTGTTGATTCTCCACGGTCAGAATCACCAAGGATATTACATGGGGATGATTTTTTTGGTGATGTAGAAGATGACGAGAAACAAGAATCTAAAGAAGCTGCAAAAGCAATCACACAGCAGATGCGTGAAACGCTCCATAGAGATGAAACCTTGCTTTCTTCTATGTTCTCCAACGGATATGTCGGTGATGAAAGTTCATTTAATAAATCGGAAATTGAATATGCAGAGGGTAATCTCAGTGATTCAGAAGTCATATCACCCACATCTAGGCACTCTTGGGATTATGTTAATAGGTTTGGTAGCCCTTACTCATCCTCATTTAGCCGTGCATCATATTCTCCAGAGTCATCAGTTTGCAGAGAAGCAAAGAAGCGCCTCTCTGAAAGATGGGCAATGATGACATCTAATGGGAGCTGTCTAGAACAAAGACCCGTGAGGAGAAGCTCTAGCACATTGGGGGAAATGCTTGCTCTTTCTGAGGCAAAGAAGGCTGGAATTCCTAAGGAACTAGGTAGCACTATTGAAGAACCTAAGAATTCTGATTCTCTCTTTGGTAGTGAGCAGACAGAGGATGAAAATCTAGATAATTCTCCTAGGAATCTCTCGAGGTCAAAATCCGTTCCAGTATATTCTGCTGAGTTTGGCACCAGGCTCAATGTAGACATTCCGGATCCAGAGGTTTCTAAGGAGGCTACAAAGACAAGAAGTGGAAAATTGTCATTCAGAGGAAAGGTTTCAAGTTTGTTTTTCTCAAGAAACAAAAAAACTAGTAAAGATAAATCTGAATGCAAAGATGAGTCTTGCTCATCTGCAATACATTTTGGGCAAGTAGGCAGAGATCGAGGTGAACGACTTAGTGATGAAGGGCTTGAATGTCTGTCACCTGTTGAGAAGGATCCATCAATTAAAGCAGCTTCCCCAAATATAATTGGCCAGCAGGGCATTACATCTCCCAAGGTAATTCTACTATCGCTGTAGTTGGCTATGCCCCCACTTTTCTTTAAATTTTTTTGGTCTGTTACCTAATGCATGCTTTGATTTGGTGGTTACTGGTGAATAAGCGACATGAGAAGCTTCTGTGATTGCTGCATTTATTTGTTATGATTGATTATTTTTTCTCCTTACGAAACTTTTAACAACTATCGAAATGCTTTTGTTGAGTACTTCATTCTCTAACACGACGGCCTTTGAAAGTGCTCTTTCAGCTTCCACCAAGGCAACATTTTTGTTAATGAATATGTACGTATATAGTACCGGTTGCCTCGACCATAAATTTCTATTACCCTATGAAATTATGGCAACTAACAAGAATTACAATGATGGTAATTCACCGGATGTAAAAGGATAATAATTCAGATTTTCTTAATGGAAAGAAGTTTGCGGGGCTATTCATCCAAATGAGGGACAGGATACATGTTGAGTTCTGATTAGGTGTTTTCTTCTGCTTGTCATGGAGTTGTTTCCTCATCGATGATTTTTTGTAGCTTGAAACTGTAGTAATAGTCACTAACATATGTTCATATTATCCTGAACTGGGAAACTTAGGACATCATTAACGTCTTTCCACCTTTTCAGAGTGAACTGTCTGTAACAAAATCTGTTGCACCTGGAAACCGAAGTGAGAACCAGGACCAACCAAGTCCAATATCAGTCTTAGATCCAAATTTTGAAGAGGATGAACATGCAGCGCTGGAGTCCTCTAGTTTTGTCAAGCCTGATCGACATGGTAAAGTTTGTTGTTCAATTCTCAATGTGCATGTTATTTGTTGATTTGTTTTTTCATTTAGTTTATTTGCTTTTCTTCTTGGAAAAACAGGATTTGAGTTGCCGGTTCATCCTGTTAGATCAAATTTGATTGACAAATCACCACCCATAGGATCTATTGCTCGGACACTACCATTGGTTGATTTGGTTATGGATACATCCTCTTCATATCCCTTAAAATCATCCTTACCCTCCCCAGGAGCAGAGGAAGAATGGTTTTTCTTTGTTCAGACATTATTATCAGTGGCTGGACTTGTTGGTGAGGAGCAACCTGACTCGTTCTTGGTTAGATGGCACTCACCTGAAAGCCCATTGGACCCATCATTAAGAGACAAGTACATAGATTTAAATGAGAAAGAGACGCTACATGAGGCTAAGCGAAGGCAAAAGAGGTCGACCTGTAAACTTGTGTTTGATTGTGTGAACGCAGCATTAGTGGACATTGTGGGATATGGACCGGCCTCATCCCAAAGAACCATCCCATGCACTGGGGCTAATAATAGCTCATTGGAGAATGCATCATTGATGATGCTGGACCAGGTGTGGGCCAGGATGAAGATATGGTTTTCTGGTCAGGCCAGATGTGTTTCGATAGGTTTTGGGGATGACAACAGCCTGGTGGTTGAGAGTGTAGTAAGAAAAGAGGTGGTGGGGAAGGGGTGGGATGATCATTTGAGACTGGAGATGGATAATTTAGGAAAGGAAATTGAAGGGAAGTTGCTAGAAGAGATTGTGCTAGATGCTGTGGTGGAATTGACAGGTAGACTTTGATGATACTTTATACATTTTAGTGACTTAAATAATTTCTTTAATTTACAACTCTATTGTTTGTGCATATTAGGTGGAATTGACAGGTAGACTTTGATGATACTTTATACATTTTAGTGACTTAAATAATTTCTTTAATTTACAACTCTATTTTTTGTGCATATTAATATGTTAAAATGATCCCCAGCCCATCTCTAATTATTTAATGCTGCAAATTGTTGCAAATATGTTATCCATACGTATGTCTGGATTTCTGCTGTACAACCTTTTCTTTTCATTTTTTATCCAATACAGAACACTAGAATCTTCATGCATAAATATATAGTAGATTTGCCTTGCGCTGTCTTATACTGTGGATGGTCCTGACGGTGGTAGTTTATGTGAAGTGTTTTTCTATATGCACAATAATTAACTGAGAAATTCTCAAATGTTTCCTATGATTAGCTTAGTCTGCATGGATTACAGGATGTTTTATGCATAGGTCTGATAAATTTTGGTGCTTAAGCCATTCAAAATGTCTTTCAAGATAGACTTTTTTAGCCTGGTTTTTCATAATGGAAAAAGGGCATCCAGCATCTACCATTTGAAGTTACCTAATTAGTATAAATTTCAAAAAGCTCCGTAGTATATCCACCAAACAATAAACAAGAAGACAACACACACGAGATAGGTTACTAAAACGGAAACATGTGACCCTGCTGGAGTAAAAATCGTAAGCAGACCAACCAATATCCATTGGTATGAATGCTACATTTCTACCATTGGATGCCACGTTTCTAAAAAATGTCGGAGTTGGGAAACAACACTTTCTGGTTGAGCAGCAGATGCTTTTGGCCTGCTCTGTAGTTCTGGAGAAAGCCATGCTATAGATTATGACTTAAAAGGGCTCAATTTCACTTTATTTATAGTAACTAGTCAAATTTGATATTGCATTGTATGTTATTCTAAAGTCATTTATAAGTGATGTAAAAGTAATATTTGGTACCATTTTGTTGGAGAATTTGATAAGTCTCAGACGAATTAAAAAAAAAAAAACATTTAGCATAGAAATTTAAGAGAAGAAAATTGTGCACTCAAAATTCAATTTCTATGATTCAAATTTTTTATAATGATAAAATACTATAAATGAGTAATATTTTTATATTACATTTTATACATAAAAATTAATTGTTAATACATAAATTTAAACACCCATTAAAATTTCTAGATATATGAATATGATTAAATTTATCTATCATAACTCTAGAATAATGTAATTCAAGATTTATCAAGTGAAAATTCATTGAATTTAGGTGAACGTGAGTGTTAATTAATTATATAGTATTTATTACATATCGAAAAACGAAAAGTAATGTATTATTGAAATAATTGAATTGTAGGGGATTAAAATCGTTCGAAAAATTATTTTCCCTCGATATGATATTTTAATATGTTATAGATAGATTGGTCTCCCAGTTTTTAAATTTGTTGCAAGAGGTTCTCCAGTGGATATAAATTATCCATTTGAGATTTGCGTGCAACAAAATAAAAAATGAACAAAAGGTCGGACTAGTTGCTCAAGACTGAAGCATGATGTTCTACTTGGTCTATTTTGAATATGTTGGATTCCCACCATGGCTTTTAATGGGATATTCTGCCTTTTGAACCTGGCATGAAGGTCTCCCCTCAGCCGGCTCTCTGTAGGGGAATCCCCTCTCATTGCTTCCCCTAACACACTCCATTTACCACATCATGAGGATTGCTCAGAAATTTTGCTATATCCTTATGAAAATATAGGGTTGAGTATACGAATAACGAGACCTATCAAGTTGACAGTAGAACCTTGCAAAACCTTCCAAATTCATTCCAATCAGCAAGGTTCTATACTTATATTTGTAGCCATTTGTTAAGGTCATTAACAGCACAAAACGCTGCAGAATTCAAATGGTATATGATATATGAGATTTTTCAATAGACACGGGGGGTTTTCTCTCTAGCGTGCTAAACTATAGAGTGAATTGTTCAAATGGTCACTGAACTTTACAAAAGGTTTTCAAGGGATCGCTGAACTTTAAAAATATCTAAATGGTTATTGAACTTTGCAAAATGTTTCTACGAGGTCACTGAATTTTAAAAATCACCTAATGGTCACTGAACTTTGCAAAGGGTTTCCACGAGATCATTGAATTGACCCTGTAGAAATCTTTTGCAAAATTCAGTGACCTCTTGGAAACATTTTACAAAGTTCAGTGACAATTTGGGCAATTTACTCCCAAACTATTTGAAATAGCGTAGGGGACAAGTGATATTTATCAGAGTATACATCCAAGGCTTTTATTATGTGATATTCTTGAATGCCAGTAAGTAGCAGGTGTACTTTCAGTATCCATCCCTTTAAACTTTTACCATAATCCAAAGCATGGACAGGAAAATCTCGTGACCAAAAATCAGAATCTTAATTTTCTGTCTTTTGCTGGGATGAACTAGTTGGGGACTAAGAATTTAATAGACCCAACAGCAACATGACAATGACAGTGAGAGGCTCACATGGAGTGAAATTATTGCATTTTGGGGTTATTCGTTTATACTTCGCCGACTGTGTATGCATTAAGGCTTTGTTTGGGTTCTTTGTTTGGGGAAAATGAGTTATGTAATGGTGATTTTTTTAAGAATATATGGTTTAGAAAGCAAGAATTTTTTTTGGATTTACGTGTGAAATAATTTTATTGAAAGAATACGTTATTGGAAATTTAGAGAAAACTGAATTATCGTAGAATGGAGTTCAAACATGGGTAAATGTCAAAGGGATAGTCTTGCGAGGATATCAAATCTGAACTCAATGCAAAACATGAATGATCTTGATCTTGTAGTGAGGTTTAGTATGCTTATATCGTCTCAAAATTGTAGGGAGAAGTAAATTTCTAGTAATTGCAGTCTTCTAGAACCGTAGATCTGAACTCTTTTGTGGCACGGTACTTCTAGGTGGGATGGCTGGTTCGAAATTGTGTCATTTGGAATCTTCTTAGATGAAGCGACGAATCTAGAGGATTGATGAAATGGCATATGGGGGTCGACTCCCAAATTCATTAAGAATAAAGATTAATTTGTCGTCACAATAAACAAAAACAAGATTCTCACCAATCTAATTTTACAATCACAGTTTCAGTACTGTTTCCAAGAACCCATTGGATATACAACCCAAATTAATGGCAAAAAAGAAGTCACTCTCACTAGTTGAAACAAATATACCCAGCACAAGGAAAACACCACGCGATCACATGTCCATCAACATATAGCGTTAACTTTATGGTGAACAATATGCTTTGAAGATCTATGTACATGAAATGAAAATTGCTCCAGGAGCTAATTATGAAAAGAAGTTATTCCAGCATATTGCTCCAGGAGATTCACGCCTTCAGATATTCACTGCTTCTATTTTGTGTCCGTAGATGAATTTTGGTGAAGTAAATTATACTTGGCATCACCACTGTTTAGTCCATACTGCAATACATAATTTTAAAGAGGAATTTTACAAGTCAAGCACAAGAAAACAAACTAGAAGGTCACAAACTGAAAGAACAGTTGTCTGTATTATGGATCTGACAACTTAGGAGAAATTAACGCAAAGGAGAAGACAACCTAGGAGAAATTAATGCAAAGGAGAAGATAAAATGAGGACTAATAACTGGCACCAATAAGTAGTTGGGGTCCATTTCGCATATGGTTCCTATACTTCAAATGGAGCCAACAGCTTTAGGCACTTTCATGATGTAATTTACACATTGTATTAGCATATTGCAGATATATGCTCCTACAATTTCAAAACAAGTCAAGAATTTCTTCATTCAAGCCACACTTGAGTTGGATGTAATTTTGTGCAAATAGTGTGATAGTGTTTCTCGTCTACCTTCCTAAACAGAGAAGGCTTAGCATGAGGTAAAGAACATAGCATTAAATACAAACACAAAAAAACAAGCAGAGAAGCACAGGGTAGCTGTATGAATGGACCACATTTGTTTGTTAGGCATTAAGTTGGACCGCATCTAACACTGAAGATTGATATGTTTGATAAACAGTTCTGATTACATTCCAAGCTTCACAAATTCTACTAAATCTAGCAAATTCAAAAGCAAATGACCATGACATAACATAAGCTTGTTGGAAAGTTAATAGCATCTAATACTAGATTATTGAGAGGCTTGGGTTATGGTTCCCTCTTCCCCATCTATTCTCATTCGTCATTTATCCTAGCAGTTCTATTAGAATGACAAACTGCCAACTCATATAAATTGGTAGATTAATTTGATCAATACCATGTATCCTGTAGCTCTGAGAACTACACATATTCGATGTGCATATATTGAACACTAAAATGTAAAGGATTGTTATTGCCACTTAAAGGCCTACCTTTTCTCTCATCCGTGAACTCCAGATGTCATTGTGCACGACTTTATCATCCCCCCTGGCCCTGGTTGACCCGGATGCTTGGTTTGGATGTGGATTAAGCAGTGGCTCCCTCATTCTACTCCTAGCATCATAATCTTCCTCAATATCATGGTCTACCCTCTGACTGGAAACCAAGGATCTGAGTATTGTTGCAAGAAGTAGGGATAACACCTGAGAAGAAAAATAAAGAATTTTGTCAATAACATCAAAATTTATGATGCAGCTAACTATTACAATTGAATATGTCGTGAAATGCAATGTCTAGTATTTTTCTATCTTTTATGAAAACTAACATCTAGTAGTTCAGAGACCATCACTCAACTTTTCAGTTTTCCATCTTTTAAAGCTGGGCATGGACAGTTTTAGAATGACTGCAAGGAAGATTTTGAGGCCCCAAATCACATATACACTAAAATACGTAACATGTCCAAGATTAATTTTGAAGTGGCCTTAACAGCAAGTTTCCGCATGCGTTTTGTGAAGCATGCTTGTTTGAGATATCTGAGAACTTACTATCTACATTAATAATCATCCATCAGCAAAAACCAGTCCTCAAGAAGAAATTAAATAACTTAGCAACTTCTTAAATTTTTTCAATGTGTTTTCATTTTAGTGAAAAGTATTGGAGCTAGCAGATCTCCTGACCTCGAAAGAGTAATTTTTGTAGACAAAAAGTTTGTATTGATGTCCATAAGTAATTAAAAGATAGATGTCATAAAGAATATGCTCTAAAACATACCTGAATTGTAATGATGGATATGCCAACCCACATAAAAACATCTGCATTTTTCTCAATAAATGCTCGCACGCTATCAAGTTCTCCAGTGGGGTCAAATGGGAGATCCTAAAAGTTTTATGCAGTAAATTGTAAACGTGGAAGTAAAATGCAAGTGCCAGCATCGAAATACCAACAAAGACACAATCTACCTTCTCCCATTGGTGATCAAGTGCGATAAAAGCCACCAAACTTACTAGGCCCCCCCCCCCCCCCCCCCCATATCCGTCTCTGAAAGAAATTGTAATACAGATCATCTCATAAACTTGAGCATTGATATTGAGGGGAAAACAATATACTAAGGAATGAAACAACACAAGCAAAAGAAAATATGTGATTTTGATACTTGGCATCAAGGAGTTGAAGACTTGATTTGATTAAGAAATTATCAATTTTAACTCCTATTTCCAGGCCACAATTCAATGCCCTAATATATAGACTCAACACGACTAGAAATGAAAATCAAAAGCAGAGTATTATCGAATTTCCATCCACCTGAAACCTATGCTACTGCACATTTTTAGCGGCCAAAAATGAGGAAAAAATTTCCTTCTCATTTCAGAAAAGGAAAGGATACAAAGCAAAGGCAACAGCCATTGATTGCTTCAGCCGCAATGTGACCAATACATGTGATGCAACAAATCAATATCCCAACTCCCATAAATGCATAAATGAACCTGCCAATTAGAACAGAAAAGGAAACAATTATAACTAATTAGATGCGATAAAATACAAGCTTTAAACCTAAATCCGTGAAAAGAAAACGAAAATTCACTCTTAGTTTGAAATTAATAAACAAATTCAATATCAGAAAAGCAAAACTTTATAAAGTACCAAGGAGCTAGGATGATGTGGGAATTGAGGCGGATCCCATTGTCGCCAACTCCAAAAACAACGTCGGAAACGGAATTGATAGCGGGGATGGTGTTACCAGGAAGCTTAAATTCCGGGTCGTACGGCATGGGAGCTGGAGGAGGTGTATGGTGTTGCCATTGATTAAGCATATAAGCAGAGTAAATTATGATTGATATACCAATAAATGTCTGCAAAAAATTCAGGAATTTGAGGACGAATGCAAGAAATGTATGGCAACATGGGGTTCGCATTTTTGGGTTTTTTTTTTTTCTTTTTTTTTTTGGAATTTTCAGTACAAGATTTTGGAGGACAGAATTTTAAAACTGTATCAGCAGAATCTATTCTGCGAAAAACTTTCTTGGCGTATGATTTCTTTTGACTTTTGGGGCAAAAGGAAATTAAACCAAAAATAAAAAATAAAAAGAAGAAAAAGAAATTTCATTTTGGATGGAAGATGGGCCTTAGTTTTTGGCCCATCATCATACAATGAGCCCATGTTTTAGCACCGTTTTATTCATGTGAAAATTACACAATACCCTAGAGTTAAAATCCTGATTTTTAAAAACGGAAGGGTAGTTTCACTTTACAAAAATCAGAAATATCAGATATCATATCTAAATATTAAAAATTAAATACATAATTTTCATGCCAATTCCCAACCCTAGAACCATCTTCTCTCTTTTGCTTCATCTTCCCCGTCTCGTATCACTCCCCACAAACAGCTCCATCGTCCCGCCGTGGACGGCATTTATAGTGGTCCAACCTTGTCGCGCTGTGAAGCAGAGAGTGGTGCTGCGAGGTTAGGTTGCTGCGGCTATGGTGAATCTAGCGGCGCAGCAATGTGAAGCGTCGACAACGCCGCCTCGATTTTGTTGGGAGTTATTTTTATTGGATCTACTTGCGGTGTAGGCGGTGTGTGGTGGTTGTTGTGGCGAGTGGTGTGCGTGTGCGTGGGAGTGGTGTGTCTGCGGTGGCGATGGCGTGAGGTGCAGTGAATGATATATATATATATATATTTTTTTTTATGCGGTGCAGGTGGTGGCGGCATGGTGGATAGTGATGGTGGTTTTGGATTTATTTTGCGGTGATGTCGCCAAGATCTGGATCTGCTGCAGCGATGAAATAGGTGGGGATCTGGGAGATGAAATCTGATTGGGTTATTGCGGCGGTGGCATGGTTTTTGCGGTGGCTGTGTTATGGTTTTGGTTGTGATGTTGGCAGCGGTGGTGAGGTGGTGGAGATGTTCCTGACGATGGTGAGGTGGCAGTGGTGGCTGATCTAGGCGGATTTGGTGTTTATGTGGAGGCCGTGGTCGGGGTGGGATGGATTGAATGGTTGTGAACAATTATCTACGTGATTGATATTAATAATTGGATATGTGATCTGAGAATTGTGACTGCGACCTCTGATTGTGACTCACAATTAATTGAGTTGTGATTGAAAAGTTAATCGTGATCAATTAATTCAATAATTTGCAATGAGTAAATAAATTGTGACCAATAAAAGTTTTGAATATGTGACTGATAAATAATCTGTGACCTGTAAAATTTTTGGATTCGTGACCGAAAAATATTCTATAACTTACAAAATTTTCAATCTGTGACCGAGTAAATAAGTTACGACCAATAATTTGATAAACTGTGACTAAAAATTAATTTGTGACTAATTAATTAGATAACTGTGACCAAAAATTCGTGAACGAAAAATATTCTGTGACCTATAAAATTTTTGATCTGTGACCGAGAAATGAGTTACGATCAATAATTTGATAAGTTATGACTAAAAATTAATCTGTGACTAATTAATTAGATAATCGTAACCTAAATATGGCCCCGTTTGGTAGGGATTTTTTGTCCCAAAAAATTGATTTTTTGACCGTTATTTTACTATTCAAGCCGTAATTTTTGACTTCTTCCTTCACATGTGGACCCCACTTTTCTTCTAACGGTCAAAAAATCAATTCTCAAAATCTCTACCAAACGGGCCCTATATTAAATTAATTAAATAATTAAATCATAAATAAAATTTAATAAAAATCTGATTTTTGAATTTTGAAACTTGTTTTCTTAATTCTGAAATCTACCATACTTAATCTCTCACTTATGAAATTTTCCCTTTATTCATTCATTTCTTTAATTTTCTAAAAATAATAATAATGATTCAAGAAAATACGGTGAACATGCAATTTGATGTCAATTGAGGGCTAATTGAGCAAATTCTTGTAAAAAAGTTTCATGCTTCCTATAAAAGCTCTTTAGATAGACAGTACCTAAAAAAAATTTATTTAAACATGCTGAACAGCTTCTTAATTTAAGAAGTAGTTTTTGACTTTTCAAAAATCATGTCAAATGAGTCCTGAATTGAAATCGGAAAGAGACCAACACAAATTGTTGAAACTCATTAAAGGTAACTTTTCAAATATAACCCTAAAACTATGACGTGGGCATATGTATGCTGTTGAGAATTTGACCTTTCGAGTGAACTAGCGATATTTCACCACTCACAATCCATCGTACTTATTGCACAATTGAATTTCTTGGTGCTTAATGATGCCTAAAATGGTGGAAAATAGAGTGAAAATAGCAACCATGTTTATTCTCGTCCTTTCAAAAAGCGTTGGTGTCTTTGCTTTGTCTCTAAGTTTGTCTTTTAACTGTTTGTAATAATGCCATTGTGAAGTTGATTCCAATCCAAAAATAGTTTAACAAATATAATATGATTCATTTATTGACTTATTATCCTCGTTGTTGTTGTTGTTGGCGGGCCTTTATCAATCATTGTTGCCCAAACTCAAGTTTATTATAATATAAAAGTTAATCCAATTCAAATTTACTATTGACCACAAAAATCAAGAAAGATATTTAGTGTACGCATGTTATTTTATGTTTTAAGGTATATTTGATAAAGTAAATTGAGCATCAGCAAGCAATCTTAAAGAAGAAAAATAAACTAAAATATGCCCTTCGGGCACATCGCAACTGACAAAGGACGGAATTCTTCAAGGCAGGCAGTTTAGAGGTCGTAGGTTCGATTCATGGGGCTCTTGGAAGGTAAGTCTTTCTCCTGGAAGGCAGGATATTTCTTGAAAGGCAAGGAGCATACACAGGTTTGACTCGCTCGACACTTTGACAGTTCAGTTGGAGGGGCTCTTGGACCCTGACCAATTTGGGGAACAACTCGTGGTTTACCTGATCTGCGTGAAGAGGGGTTGGATCATAAACCTCAGGATTAGTCGCTGTAAGATGGACACCTAGGTATAAAAAAAAAATATATTTTTCAAGCTTGAACTTAAATTACTGAAAAATGCATTCAACTGTTTGATACATCAAAAATATGTAAAACAACATATGCATGAATTCATATATTTATTAGCTCTTGATTTTATAAAATTGAATATTTTACTCATGTTTGAGCTTCACTCTTAGTTATTTTGATATTTACCTTTTTCGTCTGATTCATGAGCAGATTTAGTAATAATGCAATATCTTCTGTTAATAACTAATATTAGTTACTGTTGTGAGCGGAAGCTGCTATTTCATGTATCGAGGGTTCTGTTTCATATTTGTTTTCTGTCCATATTTTATGAACCAGTAATGGCAATAGTAGTAGTGTTAGAAGTAATAAAAAAATTGTTGTTATTATGTCAGTCATTTTCTTGTTTGTCATCCATGCATTTTGGTGTTGGATACCTTTAATAAATTGGCACAATAATTCATTTGTCAGGTTGATGGTGATTATTAGTGAAATCAAGGCTCTATGCTTGTAATATCAAGAACAGAATAAAACCTGCAGAAATTTATTTGGAGCTCTACACGGCCTCCTTGTAATTGACATCCATCAAACAATTTGCATGTTTTTTTCTTTTTTATCACCTATGTTCGTCGCCATCTTCTTAATAGATTTTTATTACTGTGTAAAAGGATTGATGATGCCTTCTGAGATTGAAGAAGATAAGATCACTTTCTGCGAGGCGTCAATATCAAGATAAGAGCAATCTGTTTCTGTTTTAAGCTCAATGAGGAATCAAAATGTTTGCCGACTTCTTGTTTTCTTTTATGAGCAGCAGATGGCGATAATACAGAGCAAGCATCCTGTTGATTTGATTAAAGTATATTCAGAAAAGGAGCTTTTGAAGGAGTTTGAAAAAATTGCTTCCACCATTGTACCAGAAAAAGATTGGTCTATGTGAAGGCCTTATTATTGGAGGTTTGTGAGCCACTCACTCTCTACTAAAAGCCTCTTGCTTCCAATTCGAAATCATATATTTTAATGGTTGCATTTTTTTTTGTATGGTTTTTTTGGAACTACTGTATTTCATCCTTGAGATGTGTTCCTATACAATGTTTATTAAAACAAGAGGAATATGAAGTTATTTTCATGTAGAAGTTAACAGTTTCTTTCTGTATATCTTTAGTTGCACTGTCATTTCTGCAAAAAATGTATATTAACAAAAGTATACATACCCTTTCGTGTACTCTTCCATACATAAACTTACTGGAGGTTGCTTTCATGGACTATCTAATCACTCCGAGTTTTAACATGTAATTGATAAGGATAAATGGATAGTTGATTTCTGTATTCAATACTCATTAATAGTGCAGAAGTTTTTAATTTGGATTTTATATGAATAGAATGTTCCTTCTTTTAATTTTACATATTTAGTCGCTTTCTGAACTCTAAACTGTCGTGATGCTCTTCCTTCTCCATTTTGCTAGGCATGCCATTTGTTATGCTTCTTATCAAAAGAGCTCTTGAGAGACTTTCAGTACATGTTTATTCCGGTAATAGCAGTCTCTGTATTTAGTTACTATAGCGTTATATGATCACAAGTGCTTCTCACCCTTTAGTTTGACATTTAGGTTCTTTTCAAGCTTCTTGTGATAACAGTACTTGTAGTTTGGAATTTGCAGATAACTGCATAAAAATGGTGTTTCTGTCTGTCTTACTGGTTAGCTTGTTCTGTTTCTATATTTTGCATACCCTTCTGTGATTTTTTTTCTTTATTTCTGTTTTCAGATGTTACGCAATTGCAAAGTTCCCCGTATGCTTCCTCGTATAGTTGACTGTTCGAAGAATGACCGAAATGCAGTACGTGTACTTCGTGCAAGGTGTGATTCTGCTTTTGTTCTCTGATAAACTGGATCTACTTCAAATAGCATTCGAAGTTGTAAGTATCATGCGCTAGGTCCAATCAACTTTGGACATAAATACTTTTATATATAATTAATGCAATTTAATGACAGATCTATTATTTAATTAATAGACAATTAAATAAATAATAGAGTCCTTAGATTCAAATCTTCGTAATTTGTTAATCACAGAGAGTTGTGATTGTGAGATACAAATTACATCTAATTGAATCTTAAATCGTCCGTGGTCGTAAGTAATAACGAGATACGGATATCGTTATTACGCATAGGCCATCATGTGTGGCATTTCTTACTTGTGAAGTAAGTAGCTGATCTCACAAGTTAAAGTGTGGTGACACTTAAATGACACATGGATGTTTTGTTATAGAACAAAATATTGGAGACCCGCCGAGAGATTCCACATGGATAACTATCTGAGTGTCAGTGGTTAATCTCTAATGTTCGGTAGTGGAATTGGTCCTTAGACTTGAGGTCGTCACGGTACCTTATATGAGGACAGTCATACTTTGGCGGTGTTGAATGTTGCTCTGCAAAGGGCCGCTAATACGACATTGTTCAGGTACGTCAAGAATCGTATGAAGGTTGTGATTGACCAATAAAGGATTCGTTACTCTTAGATAGTAGGAGATTATGATCTGCGTTTCATTCAATTAAGTCGATGATGAAATCCTTGGCTAAGGTGTACTCATAAGTCGAAAAGGAGTTTTCGACTTATATTGACTTAATAGAAAAGTAAAAGATATGATCGATATTCGGGATTGACACAATTCTATATCTCGTAATTGATCAGATCATATGACGAAGGGATTATAGTTTCACGGTAAACAAACGAGTTTGGTTTTGTCATACCACATGACATTTCCCGTCATTTGTATTGTCTTGACACATTACTAGATGTCAATCAGGGACGGCGAGTGTGAATTGACGATAAATTAAAATGGTGTTTTAATTTATCAATTTTGATTAGATCAAAATAATATTTCACGTCGTTAGGCATTGTGGTCGGGAACTTAATGGGTCGCACACAAAAGAGAATTGAAAGATTACAAATTGTAAATTGGTTTATTTAACAATCGTTGGATAAATTATTTAATTGGATTTATTATTTATATTCCCGAATTAATTAATTGGATTAATTAATTCACGGATTGGGTTTAATTAAATAGATTAATTAAATATTGGACTGAAACGGATCGAGCCCGTCTAGGTTTATATAAATACATGGCTAGGGTTTTCAATCGAAATGATTTTCATTATTCTTGTTGGCACAAGAGGAAAAATCCTGGTAGTTGCAATCTTGTTCTCCGTGTGGATTACCGTTGGAGGCTGGACAATTGGATAACTGTGGATGGCGAATTAAGATTGCTGGAACGAAAAGAATAGTAAAGAAGTTTGCAGATCTGGAAAAGGCACAATCTTATCACAATTTCTATCTAAACACAAATGCGATTCTTGGTGGGAATCGAAAATTATTTTAAATTTTGCTGTGCATGTATAAGTTGATTCCCAACAGAAGTATCTTCTATATTTTTATTTTCCCGAATCAGGTGTTGTACTTGAATACTTGACTGATGCACATGAAATATAGCGCTCAACTGACCTTTATGAAGACTTTAATCAGATATTGTGTGACATATGCTATGAGCCAGGTATATATTTTTCATTCATGAAATGTCTCTGTTTCTTGAAGCTGGTGGATGATAGGCTTTTTCCTTATCAATTATTTTTGGTGCATTGAAATGTTTGGGATTAAACTTTCCATTTTCTACAGGTCCGCTCTACTGCAAGGATGTGTTACCGAAGGTTTGCAAGGACCTGGCCTGAGCGTTCTCGGCGTTTAGTAATGTTGACACCATTGATCCTTGAGAAAAACGTCAAATGGACAGCAACAGCTATAAGCTGCATCATATCTGTTTACACCTATCATGATTCTCTAGCTGTGTTGAATTCTATTCTTGGCTTATTCGTTGAACAAAATTCCTTAAGACGAGTTCTCAGGTAGTATTCTCCTCGTATAGAAGTAGACTCGATAACTTTATGCAGAATAGGAAAGACAGACGTGGCAAGTGTAAGTATTATGTCTTAGGTCCAATCAATTTTGGATATAAATACTTTTGATATATATTTAATGCAATTTAATGACAGATCTATTATTTAATTAATAGACAATTAAATAAATAATAGAGTCCGAGGATTCAAATCTCCGTAATTTGCTAATCACAAGGAGTTGTGATTGTGAGATACAAATTACATCTGATTGAATCTTAAATCATCCATGGTCGTAAGTAATAACGAGATACGGATATCGTTATTACGGATAGACCATCACGTGTGACATTTTTTACTTGTGAAGTAAGTAGCTGATTTCACAAGCTAAAGTGTGGTGACACTTAAATGAACACGTGGATGTTTTGTTATAGAACAAAACATTGGAGACCCGTTGAGAGATTCTACATAGATAATTATCTGAGTGTCAGTGGTTAATCTCTAATGTTCGGTAGTGGAATTGGTCCTTTGACTTGAGGTCGTCATGATACCTTATATGAGGACAGTCATACTTTGGCGGTGTTGGATGTTGCACTGAAAAGGGCCGCTAATACGACATTATTCGAGTACGTCAAGAATCGTATGAAGGTTATGATTGATCAATAAAGGATTCGTCACTCTTAGATAGTAGGAGATTATGATCTGCGTTTCATTCAATTAAGTCAATGATGAAATCCTTGGCCAAGGTGTACTCATAAGTTGAAAAGGAGTTTTCGACTTATATTGACTTAATAGTGGAGTGAAAGATATGATCGATAATCGAGATTGACACACTTTCATATCTCGTAGTTGATTGGATCATATTGACGAAGGGATTATAGTTTCACGGTAAACGAACGAGTTTGGTTTTGTCACACCACATGACATTTTCCGTCACATGTATTGCCCTGATAAATTGCTAGATGTCAATCAGGGACGACGAGTGTGAATTGACGATAAATTAAAAGGGTGTTTTAATTTATCAATTTTGATTAGATCAAAATAATATTTCACGTCGTTAGGCATCGTGATCGGGAGCCTGATGGGTCACACACAAAAGAGAATTGGAAGATTACAATTTATCAATTAATTAATTTAACAATTGTTAGATAAATTAATTAATTGGGTTGGTTATTTATAGGTCCGAATTAATTAATTGAATTAATTAATTCATGGATCAGATTTAATTAAATGGTTTAATTAAATATTGGACCGGATCGAGCCAGGCCCGTTTGGGCTTATATAAATAAAAGGTTAGGGTTTTCAATTCATATGGTTTTTCATTATTCTTGCTAGCACAAGAGGAAAACCCTGGTAGCTGCAATCTTATTCTCTGTGTGGATCACCGTTGGAGGTTGGACAATTGGACAGCTGTGGAAGGCAGATTCAAGATTACTTGAACGAAAAGAAAAGCAAAAGGTTTGCAGAATTCTTCAAAGGTACAATTTTTATCACGATTTCTATCTAAACACAAAGGCGATTCTTGGTGGGAATCGAAAATTAATTAAATTTCGCTGTGCATGTATAAGTAGATTCTCAACAGTGGTATCAGAGCCTACTTTGTGTTTGTTAGAAATTATTTTGCATGTTAGAACAATTAAATGTTAATTGTTTTTCTTGTTTTAGCGATTAACGAAATAAATAATTTTTCATATTCAGAATTAGATTTTGAATAGAAATTATTTTTTGGATTGGAGAATTAATAAGGTATAAAATATATATATATATATGAGGGGTGGGATGCCGACAGCAACAGTTGCTGTCGACGTTGGTGAAGCTGTCGGCGGTAGATGCTGCTGCTAAGAGTAGCAGCGGCCAGCGGCATCTGCCGCTGTTGCTACAGCAGAGCGAGGCTGGCAACGGCCCGCCGCCTACCGGGTTATTAGGGTGGCGCCGCCAACCAAGAGTGCTTAAAAAAAAATTGGTTGAATTTTCTAGGGTTAAACAATCGGGTGAGATGCATTGGAGGCGGGGGCTTCTGACGCAATTTATGAAATTGCAAGCCCCCGTTTGCAATATCCATTTGGGGTCAGTTTGTAAGTTATTTTAGTAAGGGCCGTTTTGTATTATTTGATATTGAGGACCATTACTTGTAATTTCACTTCGGTGGTAAATGTGTAAATATTGAAATAAGGGCCTTTTTCATAATTTCAGAAATCGGAGGGCCTGTTTGGTATTTTTTAAAAATGGGTCAAATTTTGAATTTTCAAAGATGTATTGGATTTTAAATTTGGAGGTGTTTTACATTTGATTTCCAAATGGGTTTGATCCATAATTTTAATTTTGACCCAAATTAAAATTTTATTTAAAATTGACGACATTTTATATTTTCGTTAAAATTGAATTTTGACTTAAACATTAAACTTTGACCCAATTGAATTTTTATTTTATTTAGGAGTGTTATCCGAGATTAAAATATTAATTCAATTTAAATTAGAGTTTGAGTCTAATTTAATACTTAATTAAAATTTGATTTTAATTAATTATTCACCCGAATATATTCTTGTAATTAGAATTGGATTCTAATTTCACATTTAATTAAAATTTGATTTTAATTAAATTGTCTCGCCCTAAATTTCTTCTTGGAATTAGAGTTGGATTCTAATTTGGTATTTAATTAAAATTTTGATTTTGATTAAATTAATTTGCCCTTAAATATTGGAATTAGAGTTAGACTCTAATTTTGTTATTTAATTTAAATTTGATTTTAATTAAATTCAACCGCCTTATATTTTCAAATTAGAGTTTGATTCTAATTTAATATTTAATTAAAATCTGATTTTAATTAAATAATCCCGCCATATAATTGTTGAATTGGAGTTGGACTCTAATTTGTTATTTAATTAAAATTTGATTTTAATTAAACATTCCCGCTAATTAAATAATCGATTAATATGATTAATTAATTATTTAATTGTTCCGATCCATTTGTC